TGTTATTAACAAAAAACATGGAGCTAGAAAGATTATTTAAAATTACACTAATCTAAATTTCACATATGTTATTGTATTACGCAAGAAAAGCTTCTTAGAGCGCATATTATAGTTTTTATAAGATTAATATACTACTTGCATACTCATAAAAATTTATTTCCTTTATATGACATTGCAAAGCTTCAACGGTGTAGCTTGTAATTAATATTGATCTTTAATTAAAATGTAAATAAAATTAGTAATTATGTAAATTTCACCAAAAAATGCCTGAAACACGGCTCGTTATAATAAAGTCCTATAAGATATTAAAAAAATTATAAAAAGATCCAAAAACGATCTTAAGCCGAGTAATTTTGAAAACATTTGTAAACTACCTTATTTTGAAATAGTAAAAAATATATTTTTCTTAATTACAAATTATTAATAGCAATCAGAACTCCCTAGTCTTATAAAGTTTCTTGTGATAACTTCCTAATTAGAATTGCCTTTTTCTTTTAAAGAATAATAAAAATAAAGAATATTGTAAGAAAAACTAATGTCTTTTAAGAGATTTTAAAAAAGCAAAAATGAACAAAAAATCCAAAACTAGGTTTGAAGTTATTAGTAATACTCTTGATTTTTTATTGGAAAATTGTAAAGGCAATTTTAAACTTGGAACCATAATTCTATAATAACTGATATTACCATCAATGTTAGAACAGCAAGTTGAAATACACCTGATTTCGTTTTGCCTTATCTACATATGAACCAAAAAACACCAATTAAACTTATATTTATTATTTACAAATGTATTCGTTTACAAACCAATTTAAGTCAGTATGTATATAATAATCTTTGAACTCTTCTTTGACCCCTCAAGATTGTTCCAAAGGTTAATACATATTCAATTACAAAAATCAAATAAGAAATATGATATCTGTTCATGTGCCGGCTAATTAATTCATTTATTAGCTTTATCAGTATTCGCATAGAAATAATCTCTTCGGTAATTCACATATTGTATAAAATTTTATTACACCGTATGTTATGATTTATTATATAACAAATTATTTTATCTACAAAAAAATATATTTTTATATGCAGTAGTAACGTATCAATATTTGAGATTGTACGTTTTTTTTACTATTACTTCAACATTTGTTAAATTTAAAACGACTTTTTTGGCAAATTATATTAATTTTCAAAGATCCTCATTCAAAAATAGTCATTCATAATATTTTTTAACTTCACTTAGGGTAAGTTATTGTAATGGGCCGAAAATCGAACTTGAAAATTTTTACATTTCTCGACGTTTTGAAGGTTTCTGAACATTTTGGCATACCTCAGAAAAAATGGATGTGTGTGTATGTATGTATGGATACAAATTTCCAGTCACGTTTTCGGGCGCACGGATCAACCGATTTGAATGGTTAAAAAAATATTCGGTTCCTATTGTAAGGGGGATGAGCTGATTAATTTTTGGCAAAGGCAGGTCCAGCAGTTACGGAGATAAAGAGCAAAGCGTGCAGAAAATAGAAATCGAGAGCAGAAAAGAGCAATCGAGCAATCGAGAACGGAACATCCGATTTGAATAATCTAAAATACATTCAATTAGTAATGATTGGGAGAAGTGTTTATTAGATTTTGGCAAAAGCAGGCCCAGCCATTTCGAAGATACGGAGCTAAATGTGTAAAAAATGGCAGTTTTTGAGAGAACTAAGCGTCCGATTTAAATGAGTCAAAAAACTTTCTGCTTGTCTCAACAAAATAATTGATTTTGAAAAAAAAAATTTTTTTCAACTTCTTTTTTCAAAAAAAAATTTTTTTGTAGATCGAATATAATTCAGATTTTATTTTTAATTATGACTATAGTTCTAATATACATTAAATAAATAATTTCAACTTTGCAATTCAGTTTATATAATTCTTATAAATATTAGACAATGTTACAATATTAATAAAAATCTATTTGAAAACATTCAGTATTCCTCGAACATTTCGTTACGGTACGGGAAGTTCCAGCAATTTGCCTTAAGGCACGATGCCATTCACCCTACTAGTTTATATTATCATTTATTTTTTAAAGAATCATTGCATTAACAGCCGCATTTGTTTTATGACAACCAAATTCATGATTAAGATAATTGAATGGCAATAATTGAATTAATGAAAAATATTTATATGTGCAAAAATTACTTCGATAATTTATTAAAAATCAAATAGAAGATTTGCGAAGAATTTTAATTCGTGAATGAATCACACTTTTTCTATGGAATTGATTAAGTATTTATTAATTATTATTCATTTAGTTCGGTTTTATCAAAATCGGTTTATCAATAACAAAGATATCAGCAGCAATCACAAAAAACAATATAGTCCGATTTTAATTAATATTAATGAAGACAATGTTTGCTGAACTTATCAATAATTTAATTGAATATACCAATAACGTATACACAAAAAACATTAGATTTATCATAGAAAGGATTTTAAAAAAATCGTATATATGAATATGCATGAATATGTCATAAGTAAAAAACAAATTAAATAGTATGATTTATAATGATCAAATGACGCATGGTGTTTTAAATTAGATGAATTGACTGAAATTCTGAATTAATCATCGTGTTTTAGTATTATAATATTAATATGTTATACTTTTTATATCAATAATTTGTTTTATGCTTTATAATTATAATTATTTAAAGAAGTATAGAACACTAAAATTGCGACAATTACATGAGATTGCAGCCAAAAGTATGCTCCGTAAAAAAGCTAATACCAAAAGGTATTGAACATTCAAGAGAAACAATTAGAAATTTTATTAGAAACAATCAGTAAATATTTGTTTCTATAACATAAATGTTTAAGAATGTCGCAATATAAAGTCCACATTTAAAAAAATTAATAAACGTAATGGTATCCAATTTTTTATAATTGGATGATTTTTGGATTCAAAACCATATTTATTCTTAAAGTTTGAGAATGCTATCTACATCCCTGAAAATGGACATTATTTTAATAAAAATGTATTACATTATTAAAATCTCTTTTTCTTTATTATTTTTTAACAAATTTTATCATAGTTTTACATGAAATCGATTTTATGTTATTTAAGAATGTTATTAGAATTCACAATAATTATTAACTTCCCGCAAGGTAAGTTATTGTAATGGGCCAAAAATCGAAATTGAAATTTTTTGCATTTCTTAACGTTTTGAAGGTTTCTGAACGTTTTGGCATTCCTCAGAAAAAATGGATGTGTGTGTATGTATGTATGTATGGATACAATTTTTCGTCCAAGTTTTCGAGCGCAGATGATTCAACCGATTTGAATAGTTCAAAAAACATTCGATTCCTATTGATAGGGAGATGTACTAATTAGTTTCTGGAAAAGGCAGGTCCAGCCATTACGGAAATACGGGGCAAAGAGTGCAGAAAATAGAAATCGAGTTTTTGAGAGAACGGAGTATCCGATTTGAATGATTCAAAAAACATTCAATTTGTAATGTATGAGAGAAGTGGTGAATAGTTTTTGGCAATTTCGAAGATACAGAGCTAAATGTACAAAAAATGACAGTTTTTGAGAGAACTAAGCATCCGATTTAAATGATTCAAAAAACTTTCTGTTTATGTTGACAAAACAATTGCTTTTGGAAAAACAATATTAAGTTATATTTAATATTAAGTAATGATAATTATATATAACAGATCATTTTATAATAAAGATATGAATTGAGCGCGAAAAGCGCAACAAGTCTAGAATTATTTCAAGAATTTATGTTTTCTGATATTGATAAAAGTATTAATAATTTGAATAATATTTAAACATTTTTTATGATACCAAAATCATTTTTATAAGCACAAACTAAAAATTAATTTGAACAATTGAGTTACTACCGAAACTAATTGCATTTTATAATAAAGGAATGGATTGGGTGCTGAAAGTGTAACAAGTTGAGAATTATTTTAGGAATTTATGTTTTCTTATATTGATAGATATATAAAAATACTGATAATTTGAATAAACGTATTCCTATGACAAAATAACCATAAGCACAAATTGAAAATTAATTGCAACAAGTGCAATTCCATTGAGTTAGCATTGATTAAACCTTTGAACTTTAATTTTTATGTACCTAAAACAATTATCAAGTTATGTATGTTATATAATAATTTCTTGCACATTGTTTGTCCAATGTATTCTCATTGTATTTTACAGTAACAACCAACAGCCTCACGATTTCTGATATCATATGACTAACAAAAATAAACGCATGTATTAGCTTTTCCATAGGACTTTCTAAGAAACTTTGGTCCAATTTTAAATGTTATACCTCTAAATGAAATATCAGTTAATGAAAATTATTTGTGTAAATTATTTATATACAAAAATTTGTATATTATTTATATAAAGGTGACAAAAATAACTGAGATGTAGGAAGAGGAAGAGACTAGATTTAAATATAGTGTTGAATGTTGTACAGTTCATTAAAGGTTCATTATGTCACGCGAGAAGAAACATTAATTCAGGCTTGAAATTAATGTTTGTGGAGGAAATATAATTGGATTAAATAAAAATGGTTAAAAATAAATAAAAAATCGCTCTCCTTAGATATAACAATAATAAATTATTTGGGTATAGATATAAAGTTTGCATCTGATCTTTAAAACACAGTAATTTCATCAGTATGAAACCACGAATCAACAGATAATTTTAATGCAAATAATAGATTTTCTTCATGAGTAATATTTCGAAATGATTTGAATGATAAATAATAGTCACGTATTTATTTTGCACTTACGTGGCCCATGTTCTAAATTTGAAATAAACAAAGAAAAGACGTAAATGAATATGACAAGCGTTCTAAATCATCCTCCACATAAATTTATCACATTTCCTCATACAAAACACATAGAAATTCACACCCAAACACCATAATACAAAAATAATTCTAATATTTTGTGAGGTTATATCTGAATAACATCAAAATAAATGTCAATTCAAAACGACAACTTACCCGGTTGTAATAGGTGAATGATATCCAGATATTTATATTTTGATCACTATTGTGGTTGTAATTATTAATTTGATTATTGTAAACACTAAACACTTGAATAATTTAGCCGCGACCGTTTAGAAATAGTTTGACTCAACTCTTAGTAACTCACATGCCGCGCGTCACAGCGCAACTCGTATTTTTAGTGTTGTACTAGGACCAATGAGGGCTCGCAAGCCCTCGTGGCGTGATGTCTTACGTCACTCTGACTGGCTGCAGTGCCGATCAATATGTCTGACAGCGCATGCAGCGACATCTGTGTCAATGCTGACAACTGCTTGGATGGCAAGGGCGTACACCAATAACGGAAACATAACGGAAAATGCAAAAGAATAGTATAAAAATTACAGTAAATTATATAAAACCCATTAAGTTGTATTTATTTATTACTTATTCAAGCTACACTTAGTTTTGTAACATATTTATTAACATACATAATTAATATTTAAATTAGGGTGTCATCTATTAATGTTACCCATCTTCACTTAGCAAACGGTTTTATAATTTCAATTTAAATTCAGATATATTTAACGTTAAATTGAATTGCTCATTTATTAACAATCTGTGTTTTTAAAGCTGTTGTTAAGTAAGTTTGAAGCTAAGTTTTAATAACAACGTTTCATTAACATTTCAAATACCATATTCTTCATTTATATATGCCAAATATATACTATCATAGATAAGTAAACATATATACTATATGTTTACTATTATTTTTTTATATTTATTATATTATATTATGTATACTATTTTATTATATGTATTATTATATTATATTATGTATACTATTATCCAAACAGTCATTAATTCTATATAAACTATAGTACTCTCCTATAACTATAGTACTCTTTTAGTACTTTATGCATATTAATGTATCGTACTCTCAATTTATTAGCTATGACATCCTAAAATCATCTTTAAAATTGCAGTAAATGATATAAAGCCCATTCGCAGTTATATTTATTCATTACTTTTTCAAGCTACACTTAGTTTAGTAGCATATTTAATAATAAATGTTATAAATATTTAAATTAGGGTATCATTTATTGAAGTTATCCATTACCTTCACGTAGCAAACGGTTTTATAATTTCAATTTAAATCCAGATATATTTAACATTAAATTGAATTGCTCATTTATTAACAATTTGTGTTTTAAAAGCTTTTGTTAAGTAAGCTGCCAAGTTTTAATATTAACGTTTTATTAACATTTCAAATACTATTAATTTTACAAAAACTATATAATCAAATTCAGCTTGGAATTCGAAATACCCAGCCCTAAGTCTGTAAATACTTGTCATAGATAAAAGAAGAGTATTACTAAGATACTTGTATATTGAGACCTACCTTGTAAATACTTGTCATAGATAAAAGAAGAGTAATAGTTAGATACTTGTATATTGAGACCTAAAATTTGTCTCAAAACCTACATATGTTGTGTACACCCATAGATAAAAGAAGAGAACACCTAAAAGTTGTCTCAAAACCTACATATGTTACGTACACCCTAGCATATGTAGGTTTTGAGACAACTTTAAGGTGTCAATATACTATTTACGGACTTACAGCTGGGTATGTCGAATTCCAAAATTCTTATGTCTCAAAACCTACATATGTTGCGTACACCCTACCATATTTTGGTTTTGAGACAAATTGAAGGTGTCAATATACAAGTATTTACAGACTTACAGCTGGGTATCTCGAATTCCGAAATTCTTACCTAATTAAAGCTCAAATGACTAGGCTAATAGTACTTTCAATTTAATAGCTATGACATCCTAAAATTATCTTTGCGAAAGAGGCATTTTTATGGCAAAATATTAGCCTCGAACTAAATTAATAAAAATGAAAAATATTTATTACATACGTTTCGACGCTAGATATGTGTCATCAGTCAGTAGTTCTAATAGCTTGTCTATATTGTAATTATATTAAAAAACAGATGTGAAAAACGTTTTGATTTAAGCTAAAGTAGTAAAATAATCATAGATAAGTAAACATAAAATAAAAAATAATCATTATGAGTTATAAATCTGAGAGGCCGACTCCGCCATAAAGTAGATAAATGTTATGGCAAGGCTATGTCATGTTAACGGTTTTTATATAAAGTGATACTAAAAACTCAAAAACTCAAAATCCTATGTGATTTATTATAAAATCATAACCGTTATCCGTTAATCAAAAATATTTAAATTTTGTGTGGTTTATTGTCTTACTGCTGGCAACACTAAATTCGGCGGCACTGTTCTTGTCCTAGACAACTTCAATACTAATGGTTGTTTTCCTCGGTTGTTGACATTTGTGAGAAAGAAGCCAGAAGCCGAAAAATTCAATTTTCAACTTTTGCTGACAGTAAACGAGAAATTAATATATTGAATTATTTATTATCATAACAGTCTTTTTGTAGTTATTGTGATAGAAGTGACAGATAAGCTAAATTATATCTAAAATGGCAGGTGTTGAATCCATGGTAGTTGAAGAAAAACCAGTACCTGGTAAACCGATTGATCGCGAAAAGGTAAAATAATGAAAATATTAATTATTTTATATAAGTTTAATGATATTTAATAACTCCTAATAAAAACCCTTTATTATTTCCGTATTGATCGTAAACTGTATTTATCACATAACCTCAAATACTTTAATAAATAATAAATGACATTAATCAAACTTTTGTAATGAGACCTTATTGGATATAGCTTTTAACTTATTGCTTAAATTTATCAAAATAAGATTGAGCATAATCTGCATTTTTAAAAACCCTTTTCTTCAATTTCAAATATTGAATAAAGAATTTAAAATACTGTGCAAAACCAATAATCTATAAAATAAAAATGAAATTTGTTGAAATGATTTCGATATTAATAATATCCTAATTATTATTTCGGTGTATATATGCACTATGACGTTATGATAAATAAAAAAAATGTCGAGAGAAAATAATATTATATGTTCAATTACCTAATGCTCGATTTTATAAAAATATTTGTTCGCCATTTCTCCAACTTCAAAACGTAGACTTATAGGTTTTTTTGTATTGCAGACTTGTCCTCTTCTTTTAAGAGTCTTTTATTCTACTGGACGACATAATCCTCCAACAGAATACACACGTGGTCACGTCCCTCAAAACGAACTGCAAATTTACACCTGGAAAGATGCCACATTGCAAGAATTAGCTTCATTAGTTCGAGAAGTTAATCCAGAAACAAGACGTAAAGGAACTTACTTTGATTTTGCCCTGGTATTTCCCGACTTTCGTGGGAATGGTTATCGCATGAGAGAAATTGGCATAACTTGTTCTGGACAAAAAGGCACTGACGACTCCAAAACTTTGGCTCAAGCCAAATTTACAATAGGAGACTATTTAGATATTTCAATTACACCACCAAATAGGTTACCACCCCCGATGAGGAGGCCTCCAATGCATAATCGTGCACATTTTTAAACATTAATTTAAAGTTGACGAATTACTTGAAATCTTAAGAAATAATTATGTTTTAAAAATAACATTATCAATAATTTTGACAAGAATAAGTTGAATAAATTGTATCATGATTTTATACAAAAGAACTATTTGTTTATAATAAAGAGTTTTAACCAATTGTGTGTACTAAATTATTATATTTTATGTTTATGAATGTAAGTTTAGTAGAATATTAATAAACGTAGCCTTTGATTTTATGAATTAAAAATATTATGTGCGACTCGATTAAATTAACTCAATATTATGAAATACATATTTGTAGAACATACAAATTAGTTAATGTGCAAGTGCATAAGAGAAAATGCTATATATAATATCTATTTTAAAAAAGGATATCAGTATAAAGTAATAAAATTCAGCTTATGTAAATAATTTACAATGTTAGTGCTATTTATTTTCAATATAATATCTGAGACAAAGTATTGGTATAATATGTACATCAACTTTAAAATTTGCATACCAATGTGAATTATAACGTTTCTGTTGTATCAATATAATTTCATCTAAAAATGCATACATTTTGCAATTAGGTTCTTTCACGAATTAATTTTATTAAGTATAAATGTTTTTGTCTTATTTTATGCAAACTATTATTTAAATAATGGTATTACAAAGAAATATAGTTTTAATATAGAAATCATTACTCACAGTAACCAACTACTCTAAAAATAAAAGTTCATAAATAATTGCATAAAAGAACCTAATTTTATCGCATATTAAATACAAATGTAATACGCGTGAATAAATCAAATATTGTTCCAATAATTAAAATACTTTGAATAGTATGTAAATTTTAGTTTGTAGTTTTTTAATTTTTCGACGTGCTACGTTTAGGTACTATGCAACCCTTTTCATTAAATTTTCTATCAAAATGACTAATAAATTATTGACGAGTATCAATTTTAAAAAAATTTAGTCCAATTAATACTGTTAGATTTTTCTCAGTACAAACGATTTTTCTATTTATATAAATTACTGAAATGAATTATGGCTGCAATCTTAAGAATATTATTCTGCAAGCAATGAAAAAGCATTTTGAGTACAATTTTGAATAAATCAGCTTATATTGACTAATTAATCATTCGTCAATATGTGATTCATCAAAAAATATTTTTGAAAAATAATTATTTCATAAAAATTACTTTTCTAAATGCTGATGCCAGAAATAAAAAAGCGCTTAATTGTTGTGAAAATATCATATGATCTTAATAATATTTTGGCATTAGAATTTATAAAATTGATTTATTTTGCATTGATTATCTATTTTGAAAATTACCTATTTTGTTTATGCTAATATTTACATCATACTGTGCACACTACAAGTAAAAAGATTTATGAGAGCTCTTATTTCAATTTCACTCTATGAAATATAGTTTTTGCTTGCTATATATTCTTAATATAAATTTATAAGATGTCATGATATTTAATTTTTGTTTTAAATAAAGTAAATTAATTATTAATTTATCGTACAGTACAATAGTTCACTTATACAAGTTTACTTGTACTGTGATAAATTCATATGAATAAATGTTGATTATTCATATATAAATTAATTACATATTACATGATCAAAATCCAGAAATATTGCTTCTTTGAAAATTCGTATAATTCCAATAATCTATATAGCGTTAAATCTATAAAAAATATTTTATCTAAAAAAAATTGTATCGATGTAATATATAGTCATATTTAACATTAACATTCGGCTAAGGCATTTTTTTCATAGAATGATTGTATGGGAATATGTTATATAGAAAAAATTCATAACTAGATTTATAATTGCATAAAATGAATGAAGGGCAAACAAACATACATGATTTATAATGTTGAAAAAATAGTGTATGTCATATTTTAACAGCAATGATAATAATGAAAATAGATGACGAATAAATCGACTAATTAACATATTATTAATCGATCGTTTGTTAGTTGCGCAAAGGCAGGGTCATTAGCTAAAATAATGTGATAAACCATCAATTTATATTATATATTTTTTATTCGCAATATTTATTCTGATTTCGTAGTTTTTGATAAAATTGTTATTTATAATATGTTATTTGCCGATTTTATTTATACTCTTATGCAGTCTTTCATTGCGTTTGTAAGCATTGAGCATATTTTTGATAATTTTTTAGCACTCTAGTTATTTTTGCTTAATTATAATTTTAAAAATTCAGTTTGTTCTAAAAATTAAAATTGGACGCTGAGTTATCATTTTCAAATATATCAATGCTGTTTAAATCTTAAACATATTATAAAAGTTTCGTTTTAGAGCTTTTACATTTGTTTACTTAATCAGTAAGCAATTTTGAAATTTGTGTATGTTTTATGAAATAGATATCAAAATATTGACAAGGTCAGAATATAGGATTCCTTATAAATCATTTTAATAATGCAGGCATGAATATGACATAATTTTAAATAATCCCTTAATTTAATATATCACGAAGCAGTATGACCATAAGGTGCAAGGTCAATTGGGAATAGTATAGCTAGAATTATAACGAATATTTCTTTAAATAAATTATAATTAAATAAAGCGATAAATTGATGAACAATACAATATGATTTGATGAAAAAAAAATGTTTTGTGATGCGATAGTGTGTGTAATTGTATTTTTAATGGTGCGTTCTCTACTGCAGTGTATTAATGAGCTATAATCTAATTGCGACTAATTAGCATCGTATTTCCGTGCGTATTTGTCATAAATTATAATAAATTTGAGAAACCACAACATTAAATTGACTAAATAAATATTGAAACTTCAAACAAATAAAAAATTATCAAACCCATGTGTATATACACGTGGCTTCCTAACGCTCGACGTTGTCTATAGAAGAATTGGTTCAAACAGATTTTTCTTTTAGTATAAAAATTACCATAAAACAAGGAAATAAAATAATTTTAACATAATGTAAAGTAATGTAACAAATTGATGTAATTATTTTACAAACATATCGATAAATTACCATGCACGAGATACCATATAACTATTACCATTAGTAAGTAAACTGATTCTTAGAATTTACGAAGTGACTATGTGGTCGGAAGAATTTACATATCTCGTTATTTATTCACATATTTAATATAATATTATATAAGATTATTTATTTAATAATAATATTATATAAGATTGAATATTATAATAATAAGAGCCTGTAATATTTGAATACAAAGATTCCAATAAGAATACTAATGACAATAAAATCGATTTCATGCAATACTTCTATTTAGCTCCAATAATACGAAAAAATAATTTATTATGCCAAATTACATAAAGTAAGGCTAGAATCATTTCATCATTAATAATAATTTAAATATATTTTCTATGAAAGCGTTAAATAGTCTAAATTTACTGCCGTGGCCTCGCCGATACAAAATGATTAAAATGATCATGCATGAGTTAATTGTATTAAATTTATGACATAGAACGCACCATTATTAAAATTTTAAATAATTCTGAGTTCGGTATATACCAAAAGCTAATATGTAATAACTACAATTTATTGAACCCGTTACAATATCTGTTTTCTTTCCTAAAAGGAAGATTTGTTGCCTTCGTTGTGGTTCACAGCCGGGTTGTTCTATTATAGCAGCTAAAACGAAAGAAGATTAACAAAATATTAAACTACTGCTAAAAAAGCGACTAAGAAAGTAAGCTGTAAGTTTTCTCAAGATTAAACGATTTTTGATATTCAATGTTAACGTTATTAACAAATTTTGTTTTAACTAACATCTATTATTAAGTCCAGCCACTTACGGACTATTTTTAATCATTATTATATATAAATCTGTTATAATTTTTACTCAAGAAATTTAGTTTTGAAGTCAAGGCAGAGTTTTTAGCTGCCACCGGCTGTGACCAGACTTAATAATAATCTAAAAATCACTACGTTTCTACGTACTAAATAACTTTGTTAACTATATTATATTCCTATGGAAGTAAAATTATCATTACTTTATAATTTTTCAATACCCGTTTCTAGCGTTAATATAGATAAATATAAATTTATTTTACTAATTTTCTATTTTTTAACTACGTGATATGAAAATTTGTAAATAAATTCTACTAAATATTTAAAAGCTTAAATATAAACAACTTTAGTTATTTTTTTAATGTGATTTTTTTCTTGAGATTACGTGGACGCAATTTTAGGAATCTTGGGAAGATGTTTAACTATAGTTTTAACTATTTGTTGATTACCTAAAATTTTAATTATTTGTCTACGTTTATCTTAGCACTTTAGTTTCATATGTTAGGCCTCAGACTTTTATTATACTTAATACTACTTTAAACGTAAATATTTTGATCCAACCACGATATGTGAAATTGTAAGGATACTATGACTGATACAGCGCAATGATTATAGTATTTTTTATACTATAGTCAATAATATTAAGTATTGTGTTTATGTAATTTACACATGATTTATTTTGTGTGATTTATATTCGAATATAACTGTTCGAAAACACTTGCCCGCAATTTCTATTTTCTAATTCAACACGATGTTGAGTAAATTTAGTTTTAGATTTCTTTGTAAAGTAAGAGAGCAAGATATCCAGAATATAACTATTAATTTTCGTGAATTTCGAATTGGACCTATATAAATTGTTTTAGTAAATTGTAACAAGTAACTTGATAATTTAATTCTAATAGCTACAGTAATATTGGTTCGTATTTTGTAGAAGATATCGTAACTATGATATCCTAGCTTAATATAATAAATAGAATTAGCATCGAATAACGTAGCAACTACTAACAAAATAACGATATAAATACCAAACAGTTTCATGTACGAGTCATCTACACGTCTTATTAAATTAGGGTAAAAGCAACATCAACGCATTTGACACTTTATATAGTGCAGTAAATGGAGCATTTTAGGTCTGAATTTTTTTACTTTGCTCCGAATTTCATGGAATTTTGGAATTAGGTTCATCTTACCCTGAAGTTCAAAAGTGAAAACAATTCGGGTTGCGCCATCAACCCCTGGGGGGGGGGGTGACACCCCTTCTCAATTGTGTAATTACATTTTTTTAAAATAAATCGATAGAAGAACTAATTATAAGAAAAAAATGTTTTTTACAGTTTTTCAAAAAAACTAATACTTTTCAAGTTACTGGCCACTAAAGATTAATATATTTTTGACGTTTTTCTTCGTTTTTTTGCAAATATCTCCTAAAATATACATTTTAACAAAAATCATGTAATGGACAAAATAATGTCAATAAAAATCTGAATAAATCGGTATTACATAAATTGTTCTAGGAAAAATATTATGCAAGATTTGAAAGAGCAAAGTCGTTTTTTATTTCGTTCATGATTCAATTGTTGTATTTAAAGCCATCTAGTGTCGAGGTTTTACATTTTATGTATTACGGTGAAATTGGGTTTTATAGTGCTCAACATAAGCTTTAAAATGAGTGCTGTTACAAGTTTTTACATGTAAAATGGATGAGCTATCATGCAAATAAGAAGCATATACGAAGTTTATTTCTTCTAAATCATATGGTTTAATGAGCACCATTTCCACCAGAATTAAAGTAATTTACATTGTATCTAGAATTCACTTCATTATAGACATCTTGATGGATTCCAGCAGATTCACTACTTTAGTACAAACTATTTTCAGAAAATTTTATTCAGATTTTATAAAAACTTTTTTTAGGAGATATTTGCAAAAAAACGAAGAAAAACGCCAAAAATATATGAATGTTTAGTGGCCAGTAACTTGAAAAGTATTAGTTTTTTTGAAAAACTATAAGACATTTTTTTCTTATAATTAGTTCTTCTATCGATTTCCGACATTTTGAAAAAATGTAATTACACGATTGAGAAGGGGTGTCATCCCCCCGGGGGGTGATGGCGCAACCCGAATTGTTTTCACTTTTGAATTTGAGGGTAAGATGAACCTAATTCCAAAATTTCATGAAATTCGGAGCACAGTAAAAAAATTCAGAGGTTATACCTATTTTTCCTCTCCGTTTACTGCACTAATATATTTTGCATTTTTTTTTTCAAATGGCATAAATATTTTTGGCGTTCAATATGCACGTCGTTCAGTATCAGGCGATACACCAAGCAATAATAAACCCATTTTCCCTCCGGCATACCTTTCCAGCAGCCGCCTTTTCAAGTCGGGAGGATACGTGACGTAGATGTAGTGTTCACTCTGGCCCATGTCCGCAGCGCCTGGGTCTGCCCCGAGAGACGGGTCTCGGGCGACCAACGCGCGTTGCCCGTAACCGTCGCCTTCGCCGGGAAGAGCTCGTCCCGCGGCGCTGTGCGAGGGCGAGGAATGGGCGGTAGCCGTTGCACTCGTACTTGCCACGCTTCGGTCGTCATGACTAGGTAATTTCGGTAAGAATATGGTAATTGTAATTCGGTTTATTTAACAATATTATGTAATTTATTTTACGATATATAATAACTGTATCTAAAATATAAAATCTGTATAAAAAGTAATATTTTGATATTCATCAAAAACGTAAATTTTTCTTACATATATATTACAAACGAAATGGCCAGAAAATCTTAAAATGCATACTGTGTATATAAGAGAGAAAAATATCGTAATTTATTCCAAGCGTAGTAAACTATACAGACGCATAAAACGTTTATTTCGATGCAAAACTACGTGATAAACAGCAATGTTTTCTTAAGGGGTTAGGGGTACTTGGAGGCACAAAAAACTGAGAATTTTCAGTATTTTTTTGTCATTAAGCGATGTTTTATTACAAAAATATTAATACTGTATTATTATATAATGTTTTGACTTGAACTAACAAAAATTTCAGAAAAAAAATTAGATATTCCCAAAGTTATAGCTGTTTTTGTTGAGCCTGTTTTAAAAAACGGTCCTGACGATGACCATCATAACTCCTTAGAGATTCGTCTAAAATCAATCAAATAAAAAAAAAATAGTTTTATAAATAGATAATCCTGGACCTGATCGAAGGTTTTCTTTTTTTGCAAAAATTAACAAAATGGCAGCACCAGAAAAAAAATCGATTTTTGGGTAAAAAATCAACAGTTAATTGGTCTTAAAAAATTGATATTTTTGAAAAAATAAAAATTCTTCGATCAGACCCGAGTTTATTATGTATTCTAAAAGCTGTATGAATTTCATTAAAATTTACTAAGCGGTTTTTGAGTTACAGTTTTCACCGGTTCAAAAAACATAGTTTTGAGAAAAACGCGTTTAAAGTTTCACATCGGATTTACGTACAGAAATTCGAATTATTGATTTACTTAAACCGAGTCATCTATTTCTGGGCCATATAATAGTTGATCAATCATTGTGCAAGTTTCTAATATTTCCATTTGCTGTTGCCTACGAAGCATTCTGGCCTCCCGAGTGTTTTCGTTGGCGCGCTGATCTGCCACTTTCACACGTGCAGCATCCAATTTTTCAGCATACCAACGGGAATTATACCCACAATTAGGTCCTAGGTCCCACAATTATACCCATAATCAATAATAATGATGTATATGCATTCAGCAATTTGTACGATAGTAGAACTAGTATTCACGGTTTCTAGGCATATTTTTTACACTAGTTGGTTGAAGCTTTTAATTCTTTCTGATTATGGATTCAATCTTGAACTGCACATCTTGAAAGTGAATTATCATTGCTGAGATCGTCGCAAAAAATAAAAATCGTTTTTTCAAAAATTCCAAGCACCCCTAACCCCTTAAACAAATGATTTTCATCCGTCACCATTAGCATTAGCCTACATATGTTATCAGTAAAAACATCTTTATATTTTTGTTTACAAAATTACGCATGTAATACTACAAAAAGCAAGCTGAAACTATAAGTTTCATATAAACTATATGAAACAAGAAACGTAAACATTGTTTCAAATATGAAAGCATAGTTATTTTAGTCAATATAATTATAAATTTCAATATTTAAATATATTACCTCATAGAATTATTATAAAAAATAATATTAAGCACATATGTTTGGCCAAAAAGTCGATTATATAATATTTTCAGAAATTTATTTCTAATCCTTACCGATGCTCATCCAAACACACATTTTGTTCATATATATAATAAAGCAAAATAAAAAAGTAATATTACTCACTCAAATAGCACCCAGATAATGTAGTAGCATAGGCATATTCCTAGTGACAATACCATTACCATGACAAATAACAAACCCCATGGAAAAGGTCTTGGTTCGGGATTTCCTTCTTCCCAATAGCGGTCACAACTCAAATACCAACAAACAGCGTGATTTAATTCCTCTATAAACAAATAATATATGAAATTATTATTATGTTAATTCGAATTATAGTTTAAACTTATGTGTAAGAACATATTTTCAAGAAGACATACCTTCCATATCTGTGAAGTCTTGAACAGATAGATGCACCAACAAACCAGCAATACAATCTCTGACAAGAATCTGCAAAATTAATATAAAATTTAAAATCTAAATTTAATTAGGATGCAAAAATCGAATTGTTTATTTTGATCAGATTGACATTGAAGCTATAAAAATTAGAATTTTAATCTCATTTACATGTATCTTTAAATCCACATTTCTCAATTACCTATACTTTGTACTAATTAATTAAAAACAATAACATCAATCAAATGAACGAAATTATGTCATAAATTCAATAGCATTGTAACGAATCGATAATATTGCAAAAATTGATGTTTTTCAAATTTACAATTTTACATTTTAAATATATACCTCACATCGCAGCTTGAGCCTTGCCAGATCATCAGGTTTACAGTCAGCCTTAAGACGTTGAAATTCGTCATTTGTTGATCCATCTACAGCTGGTAACGCCGAGTCCACAAGGTGTTCATCGCAAGCGGCCGTGGTATTGGAATCACCATTATCTTCTATGTCTTCTACCTCTCCGTCGTCATTATCGACATCTAGAACAATAATAATCACTCATTAAATTTATTTTAACTTTTATTGATCATTAATAATTTACTTCCCTTATAATTAGGATAAGTTATAGTAATCGTTATAGTAAAGAAATTGAAAATGAATATTTTTATATACCTTCACGTTTTAAAGGTTTTTAACCCTCTGTCGGTCGGCGTGGTCTGGCCAGACTTTTTTCGACTTCAATTAAAATAAAATACTTCTAGTAATCCTATCGACTTGAAATTTCTTGACTTTTCCTAAAATTTCATTGGCTGTCGATCAATGAAAAAATCAGGACGAAAGAATGTACAGAAGGATAATTATAAGAATATTAACTTTTTTATACTTCGAACGGTCGGAAAGGTCTGTCTAGACCACCCACACATGAAGCGTATGAAATATACGCTTTTTGATATATGTAAACCAGTATTTTGTCTTTTTTCATGGTATTTTCTATTCAAACTGCGTTGTATATATTCTTTGCTATGTGTTGTAACATGAATCTTAGTATTTTCATGATGAAAGTTCCTTGAAAACCTACCAAACTTTTTGGTAATCGCAAACACTGAAAATCGGATGAGTAATGCACACATTATCAGCAATTTTTCTACCCGTACTGCGTTCGAAATTTTTTTTTGGCGATCCTGTAGTAAAATTATATTTTCAACTTGAATTTTACAGCTCATTTCAAAGGCGACGCACCTCATTTCGTTTTCATTTGAATTTCACATTCATTTCAAAGGCGCCAAAAAAGAATAAATATTGTTTTTCATTGATATAAAACAGAAAAATTAACAAAAAAGCAACGATTTTTTATATTTCTTGATTTTTTTTATATAATATATTATGTAATATTTTTATTATAAGCAAGCTCAACACATGCAAAAGACGGTAAGAAAAAGAAAAAATCAAAACTATAAATATTTACTACTAATAATCGTTAATATATAAGACACCAAAAACTCATTTATCCCATATAAATGCATGAAAAATGAATGGTGGTCCAGCCAGACCTTTCCGACCGTTCGAAGGTGAAAAAATATCCGACCGACGGAGGGTTAAATCATCATAATACGGATATCAATTTATATAAATACTATCTTTTATTTTGTACTCTATTTTATTTATATTTATATTATTGTTTATTAATGTTACTAGATGTTATATTATTTAACAGTTATAACAAATATTGTAATTAAAAAAAAAATATCAGGTATTTTATAGAGATTTCAATAAGTACAAATTTTGTTTATACTTATATGAGTTCCGTACCAATGCTTATTCGTTACATTTAGATTTATATTCACTGATAAATTTTCAAAAAAATTCAAAATTTAGGAAAAAGTCATTTTTTCAACCATTTCAAAATTCTCGAAAATCGAATTTTTTCATAGTTTTCAAAAAATGTAATTTTTTTCTTAATTTAATTTTTAGTACGGGAAGTTCCAGCATTCGTTTTTTAAAGTAGAACATTACTAGATTGTTATATAATATATATATATATATATATATATATATAGAACTCCAATTATCCGAACTCCGACTATCCGAATCACTTTCAGAAAAAAAATTGTCCAAAAAAAGTTTAACCCTTCGTCGGGCGCAGCCGATCTGACAGATACAGAGCCAATAATTTTTCATGCTGCGCCTTGGTTGAATGTTATAGAAACCTCCACTCTTCAATAGCCTCCTAATTTTATATGTTTTATTTATGCGTCTTTATCATTTTGTGTTTGACCTTCACATATAGTGGCAATCGGTATTTTGATCCTAGAGATACACTGCGCCCGAACGTGCAACATTTTGAAACGTACGAATATTGCAATTTTTTGTGAATGTAAGTATTCTTTTTCTGTATTTTTTTACGTATTTTTGAATATATATCTCAATACTTTTCATTTAATTGCAATTTTTTGAAAGTATCTACGAGATTCACTGCGCCCGAATGTGTTACTAACTTGAGTCCATACATTTTATAGGCTAGTAAATATGGCGAGTGGTAAAAAAATTTATAATTTAGAAAAGCCAGCTCATTCAGAAGAGATTCTAAGAATGCTGAATGATGATGCTGATGAAAATAATCTTCTTGACGATTTAGGTGATGAAAGTGGAAGTGACGAAGACCATCTAGAGAGTCGCGAAGTCGATTCTGAGACAGAATAAGAGGACGAACAGGATGAGAGTGAGGAAGAAATAAATTTGAACAACAATGCTAAATATTTTATGAGTAGAGATAAATCTACAAAATGGTGTAGCAAACCTCCCTCTAATAGGACTCGAACAAAATCCCAGAACTTATTAAGACATTTACCAGGTGTTATAGGAAACGCAAAAAATGCTGCAACGCCTATAGAATGTTGGAGTCATGGGAATGATAAGAAAGATCTCCGAAGAAGATATTTTTGAGACAATTATCGCATGAACTTGTTCTTGGACAGCTAACAAGAAGAAGTGAAATCACGAGTGGGATACTGTTCACTTTGCAGGCAGGACTCAAAGATTCAGACCAAATTCACAGGAAAATGGCTCACAAAAACAAGAAGAGCCACGAAAAAAACGACGATGTGAACCGTGTACATTAGAAGCTAATATTAGACGGCTTTCAAGATTTTGTTGTGCTAAATGTCGAAAAGCACTGTGTTTCCAACATGCGATCTTTCTATGCAGTCCTTGTTGAAATGCTTCAATAAATGATAATATTTAACTATACACATTAAACTATCATTATTATATTACTTATTTTTTATAAAGTGACAAATGAAAAAAAAGTTAGAGACTGTGTATTTCAATAAAGAAAAGTGAGTGTAAATAATTTGTGCATATATACACAGGTTTATATTTTTCTACATTTTATAATAAAATATTATTGAATTCTTCTTTTTTTCTATTTATTCAAAAAGTATACATTCTGAAATATAATTAAACAAAAAATTAACATGTTTATAAAATAAGGAGCCTCCTGAGGATATACTTAAAAACCGTTGCTGTCGGATACACTGCGCCCGAACGTGTGCGTAACGGGACTGCGCCCGACGGAGGGTTAAGTGCGCTATTATTCTTCCACCAGCAAAGCCAGTGTAGACACATAGTTTGTTTTGATTTGACGGAGATGTTTACAAAACAATGATTTTTATTTCTAAACTTGTACATGAGTACATTTTATTTATATTTAAAACATGTGAAAATGTCATGTTTCTTTCATTCAATTCAATAAAAAAATAGTGCAATATCAAAACGTAACTTTTTTTCTCTCCAATGGCAATTTAAAAAAAAAAACTCCGATTATCCGAATATTTGATTATCCGAATGGGTCCCGGTCCCCATTAACACTAAACATACCATAGCGGGTCAAATGACCCATTTTGAATTGCATTGAAAATGCACGTATAATTTTATTGCGTTTGCACATTTGACTTCATGACTTTTTTTAAGTAATTAGAGTACAGTTATGAACAATTTTTTTTTCTTGTTTTGTTTTGTTTATTCTGAGTTATCCTTCTTGTATACCGATATCTACCACAATGGGTCATTTGACCCGGAGAGAATTTTTTGGTTTAAGAGATTGTCGAGTCATATTTGTAGTCAGTAAGTTGCAAATTCTTCTAAACACTGTTGCGTAAAGCAGTTCAACGAAAATAGCTCAGAATAATTTCAAGAAAATATCAAATTTTAGTTTTTTATTGTTAGAAAAAGTGGCAGAAATTAAAAGTCTTGGTAAGTACCTAGCTTATATTTTATTTTGATAGCTATAGTAATACAAGTTATTTTTTACCCAAAACATGTCGAAGCAAACAAGACAGTAAAAGTTCTTAGAAGATATAAATAATATTGGCGAAGAGTTTTCAGAAATTAGTGAAGATGAATTTTCTGAAAATGAAATTCATATTGGTTGAAAATAAAAATGAGTTCGATTCAACAGATAATACTGACGACGAAGAAAACAATGATAAATGTTTACCTGAGACTGTTTCATATTACAATAAAACCAAATTTGGTGTAGACATGACCGATCAAATGGCGAAGAAATTTACTACAAAACCCAAGTATTGCAGATGGCCTCTCCAAGTTTTTTTCAATATTCTTGATTTAGCTGACATAAATGCCTGGATTTTGTACAAGCAAACGACAGGAGAAAATATCTCGCGACAAGATTTTTTACTCAAGCTAGCAGAGGAACTTGGCGCCGATTTCGAGAAGTCCGTGAATAACCAAAATAAGAAACAAATACGAAAGTATCGTTGCCTAAGTCTACTACAGATGCTTATAAACGTATGACATGTCAAATAGGATACTGTAAAGAAAATAAAACCAACAAAATTTGCTCTAAATGTAAAAAATATGTTTGCGGAAAATGTACAATTATGGATACAACTATGAATTAAATTTTTTTATTTTTGCGTCTGTAATAGAAATGCTCAACATACTATTTGTGTTTTTTATAATAAATTTAATTTCATTTTTATTTTTTCCTAACATCCATATTTCATACATTCAAGCATGAAACGTAGAGTCGGGTCATTTGACCCGCTATGGTAGAAATAGGTATATATTAAGTCTTGGTATGATTAGTGTTAATTCGGATAATTGGAGTTCTACTGTATATATATATATATATATATATATATATATATATATATGTATTAAACTTGTTTTGAAATTTCGTACCTTCAGCGACCGGCGCTTCGTCTCTATCACATCTTTTAACAGCCACTCGACCCGGCAACCCGTTTTTGTACCGCCCATTTCTTCCATTAGCCTTTGCACCATGCGGTAGCCTAGCAAGTGCTCGTGGCCCGGTTGCGGTGAGTGCCGTAGCCGAAGGTCGCGAGGATCCTCGAGGCCCCGCGTCTCGCCAGATTTCTATGTCCGTCGTAGCACGTTGACCGGACGACGGGCCGCCTAACGCGTCGCGGGCTACCAGCACTTCGCAACGCATCATCGCGCAATAATCGGCGAGGCATACGGCGTCTTCTGCCTATGAAATTATTAAACAGGACATATTTTACAATATTGAAATCGAAAAATCAAATTTCATAAGTGCATAAACCGTCTCTAAAATATATAGGGTTGGGAAAAAAGAAATCCATTATTTTTATGTGAACTTCAAGACTTTATTTAACATGTTTTGCATTGTCCGATTTAGGTCAAATATGCACCATTTTGTTCTATAATTTGTTGCCATTTTAATGATAGCTTCATTATGCCTCTCTCATAAAAGTCTTGGTCCTTATTAGCGAAAAACTCCAGCAATTGATTTTCACACTCTTCCCTTGATGCCAATTTCTTATCACTAAAAAAGTTTTGCAATGCAAGAAAAAGATGGTAATCGCTTGGTGCGAGGTCCGGACTGTATGGTTATGCGAAAGCGATCGTGGTCAAAGACCAGAAACGGCCAGAATTGGCCAACAGAAGAGGTGTCGTGTTCCAACAGAACAACGCCAGGCCACACACTTCTATAGTGACTCGTCAGAAACTCCAGGAGCTTGGTTGGGAAGTTTTGATGCATCCACCATACAGTCCGGACTTCGCACCAAGCGATTACCATCTTTTTCTTGCATTACCAAACATTTTTAGTGATAAGAAATTGGTATTAAGGAAAGAGTGTGAAAATCAATTGCTGGAGTTTTTCGCTAATAAGGACCAAGACTTTTATGAGAGAGGCATAATGAAGCTACCATTAAAATGGCAACAAATTATTGAACAAAATGGTGCCTAAATCGGACAATGCAAAACATGTTAAATAAAGTCTTGAAGTTCACGTAAAAATAATGGATTTCTTTTTCCCCAACCCAATATAATAATAAGTTTATCTTATATATAAAAATAAATTGCAAAATGTGTTGGTAAGCGCATAACTCAACAACGCCTGGACCAATTTGGCCATTTTTTTTTAAATATTTGTTGAAGTCCAAGGATGGTTCTTACGGCGAGCAAAAATGGAATAATTGCCGGGAAACCCCAAAAAAACAGCCTTTTTCTTTTTCTCATACAAACATTTTCTAACTAAAACGTAGAATCAATTTGAGCATTATTGCTATTATTTAAAGTTCATATTAAATTACAAGCACTCACTGTATACTCCTTCTAAACGATTATTTGGATTTTGATAAATCTTTCTGAAGTTTGTTAAGGAAATTATCTAGGATGTATGTGATTATAAAGTACTGGGATGTATGTGCAATATTGTAGAAATAAATGGAAAAAATGAAAACTATCATCTGCCAAAAATTTCAATTTACTTATGAACCTAGCTAGAAATTTATGATTATGAATAAGCAAAATGAAATGCCTACATTATTATTGCCAAAAAGCAGTTGAGATGTGACAGAAATTAAAATAATATAGAATACAGTATATGTATGGTAGATTGAATGATACACATATAAATAGGATATGACAAATTAATTCACTTAAAATATGATATGAAGTATTAATCAGGACCAGTCCCACCTTTAATACGATGCATGCAAAAAATATGAGCGCACGCCTTAGGAGGCGCCAACACAAGATTCGTATATTAATATTTCAATATAGTTTTTTTTAATATATAATTCCATTGCATCTTTTACTAATCTTTTCACAATATTTTTAAAATTCGTAAAAATTTCACTATATACCAACAAATAGGAAAGAAAAGAATACATAAAATTCGGCCTTCACGATATCGATTAGGAGAAGTTTAAGATGCAGTTTTGATATCTTAAATAATAATAAATTAAATTAATTTAATCCAACATGAAGTACCAGTGTTATGTTATGGTTATGGTTATGTTGACCGTTTAAAAGACTTCAATTTCCAATATAGTGTGGGAATTGAGATTCATCATTTTATTTAAAGCAGTTCTACATTTAGCATTGCCCATATTATAAGTGTATATGCATTTTGGCGTAAAGAGTAATTTAAGAAACAATAATTATTATTTTTAGCTGAACGGTAAATATTAGTATATTATATTAAAAAATTGTAGACATGGGCACAGGACAACGTCTGTCGGGTCATCTAGTTTTAAATATATTTAAAAATAAACATTCATATCGGCACCGAATTTGTGGAAGATGTTGTAAAAACTGCAAAAACTAGAATTATACTAAAAAAAATTAGAAAAAGTTTTCTGCTAGAAATAATAAAAATAATGATAATGCAAACTTTGACTTCATGATATGATAAAATGCTATTGTTTGTCAAAGTACTGTAATACATATTAAATTTGAGAAGCTTAACAAAGCAATCAAAGAACCTGGCATTGAAGTATTTGTAACAGTAGATTATTGATTTACTAATTTATAGGAGCTATTTTTAAATAATTGATCCTAACTGATCATGAACCTTGTGTTATTGTTGTGACGTGATTCAACTGATAGACATTGTACAATTAAATATATATATATATATATATATATATATATATATATATATATATACATAAATTTATTTATCTATTACTTACCACATTGATTTCATTCTTATGTCTGTTGTCAAAATGCAAATCCAAATGCCGTTCTTCGAAAAAGCTTTTTCCGCAAAATCCGCACGTCCATTGGGAAGGCCTGTGCTGTTGTTTGGCCGCTTGCTGGGGACCAAAAATGTCCCTCATTGGGTGAAATGGACATTCCAGTGGAAATTTCACCTAAAATAATAAATTTCTCAATCGTTCAAAAATACAGTAACAGAATTTCATGCCTAATATGCAAGCTCTTATAGATTTTTTTCATTAGATTAAAAAATGCAATTAAGTTTAATTAAATGAATTCTTTTTAAAATAATAAAGTGATCGCTTACCTGGTATTTGTCTAATATAGGTATCCATTTATTCTGAACAATTTTTCTGACAAGTCGAGCGTTATCTCTTGGGCATGAGATTTTGAACACACTTGGTCCGGGCCATGGTATTAAAGAGAGTACGCAGAGCGCGATTACCTTTAAAAAATCAAAAAATAATAAACATTAATTAATCATTGTATATATGAAACACCAATACAAGCTCTGTTTCTTAAAATAGTTAACTTTTAATATTAATTATATATTTACTACAATCATATGTAGCAGATAAGTAAAAGTTACATTTTCTTAATTGAATCATTCTTATTGAAAGCAGATAGTTCACTT